CCTCTTCTTGGGCCTGTGGCCTCTCACTGCTGGCTCTGCAGCTGGGCCCCTTCTGGGCCTGTCACCATTGGCTCTGCTACTGGGACCCTTCAGTGCCTGTCACTATCTTCAGTGTTCCATCCCTTGATCTCTAATACAGCTCTCAGGAGTTTCCTTGAGTCTTGTCATTATCTCTGCTTTTTCTCTCTTCTTTCTGCTTCTCTTCTTGTTTCTTTCAGCCTGACAAACCTCTGTGAGGTTGACTGCTTAAATACATTATCTCCTTCTCAGTTTCAAGGCATGGTACTCCCACCAGGGACATCAACTCACCAACTTCCACTTTCTTCTCAGGAGGCCACAGATACTGCATTTGCATAGTAGGCTCAGCTGGGCTACAACTCACCTCACTTGTGTAGTAATTGACTCTTCCCTGCAAAATAGGTACCAATCAAGGTATAGCAACTCAGGACTGGAGAAAAAGTATCAAACCAAGTTATATAAAACTTACTCAGAAAATGTCAATCAACCTGGACAAAAGTAACAAACCCTTTTTAGGCAGAAAACTAGTGAAAAGATAACTCTTGAGAGCTTAGGGGGAAATCTTTTAAGCTATTTTTTCCAGAGAACCAAGGCAAAAGGCCATATAAAATAACTCATTTCACCATATACAGAAAGAAACATTATAATAATTGAATGTAGATAATACAAATATGGCAAAACATTAAAAGTTGTTAAATCTATGTGGTGGGGATGCAGGTCATGCTTAAACAGTTCTTTTAGCCTTTCAATTGATCTTACAGTTTTCATATTAAACAGTTGGAAAATAAATGGAGTCAACGAGTTAAATATTATATTTAATATATCGTATATAACATACTCCACAGCAGTGATTATGTTACATATAAAATGCTTAGTTCATTGCCTGGCAAATAGAAAGCATTCAAATCTTTCTTTCCATTGTTATCATTACAAATTACAAATCCTTACTTCATTAAGTTAGACTAACCAGTGGAAAAGGGCCATACATTAAATCATCTCTGTTCTGTTGGCATCGTGCCTAAGGCATTTGACTGCTAACCAGAAGGCTGGCAGTTCAAACCCACCAGCCACTCCTCAGAAGGAAGATTGGGCTCCTTCCGTAGTGATACTGCCTGGGAAACCCAAGGAGGGGTTGCTATGAGTTAGGTCCGACTTGATGGCAGTATGTTTGTGTTTGATTCTATTACATTCAATAATATTCTAAAATTTCAGGCCTACTGCAATCATTTTAATAGATCTGTAGGATTATTGTAAGATTATTTGTAATTAGAATGTAAATTGTTCCTATAAATTATTTTTTTGCATAAATGGCAATGTTTTTCTCTAGTGCTTAAAAATTTTAGCTGGAACTTTTTTCCTGGTAGTTATTTTGCCTTAAATTTTCTAAATCATAGACAGCTTCATCTTGAACTATCATACATCCAAATTAATAAATTCTAAATTAGTAACTTTTGATGTATTTGTGAAAATGCAACTTCTATTTCAAATATATTCATATTAAAACTAAGAATATCCATAACTTTTATTCTTGGTGTTCAGGCTATTGATGGATCAGTATTTCTTAGAAAGCAAATTAGTTACATGAGAAATAGAGATCTTAGGATTTTACAGTTACAGAGTGTTTTTAGAGTAATTTATAAAAATGAAGGGTTTTTTTTGATAAATGATTTCTAGTTTATAGAAGTGCTTCAGTTAGTAATGATCACTTTTAAAGTATTTCTTCTTAAAAAAAATCTTTACATTTTATTAGTAATAAATGCTACTGGATGTTTTAAGGCTTTGTAAAAGGCACTTAAATTTATAATGTTGTTTGTTGTTGTTATGTGCCGTTGAGTCAGACCTGACTCAGCAACCCCTCCTTGGATTTCCGAGGCAGTGTCACTATGGAAGTAGATTGCCCCATCTTCCTTCCGAGTGGTGGGTTTGAACTGCCAGCCACTAGTCGGAAGGAATAAATTTGTAAAAGATAATACATTTAAAATGACCTCCTAAAATGGATGTTTTTGTTTTCATTTAGTGTGTCATGTAGCCAAGTAAATATTAAAATTTTCCTCATGATTGAAAAATTCTCATAACAATGAAAGTATTGGAGTATGATTTGACATCGTCACAGCATAGATTAAAATATAAGTTCTAGCATAGAAATAATAGGCCTGTGTAGAATTATGGGCCAGTTATATTCAAATTCACTACGATCGAGTTGGATCTGACTCATACTGACCCTTCCTTGGGTTTCCAAGGCAGTATCGCTACGGAATAGATTGCCCAACCTTCCTTCCAAGGAGTGGCTGGAGGGTTTGAACCTCCAGCCTTCTGGTTAGGAGTCAAATGCCTTAGATACTACACCACCAGAGCTCCTGCCAATTCTACTAAAGCAAGAAAAACTCAGTTGTGCTTTTTGCTTTCCAAAATACCCACTGGGATATGGAAGCTCTTTAACTATTCTTACATTTCAGAAGAAACTGAAATATTTCTCATTAAAAGAATGAGAAAGGTATAGATTTTTCAATCTGTATAAGTCGTGGAGACAGCTGCTTCTGTCTTTTGTCTTTTTCTGTGATATGTTCCATCCGGCTGCAGAAATAGACTACCTCCTGGAAATTAAAACCCACGTGCTCAGACCACAACAGTAAATCTGGTGGAACAGATGGTCCTGCCTGAATTGTTACACCTCTGCACAAAACCTTGGGATTTTATCAATAGGCTTTACCCTATTGAGATGAAGTAATGGGAATTGAAGTGACAACAGCAAAACTTTCATCCTTATATCAAAACAGTGTGTTATGGCTTCTTTTGTTGTATCTTTCTAATCAAGTCAAAATTACGCTGTAGGTCATATATCCGAAGGCATGCAAATATATATGAATTTATCTATATTATTTTCTCTATTTTAGAATTGAGATTTGATCAAATCAGTATTTACTTCCACATCTCAGATTTTCCCATGGAGTTTTAAGAATTACATGTTGATGCTATTTATTTATTTATTTTCATTTGAAGTCATTTATATTTCATAGGTAAAAAAATTTTTGTTGTTCCTTCTGTTCAGCCTCACTCAATATTTTTATTTTACTGCCCCATGGTAGAAATAAGAGAAGAGTGAGAAAAAAGGAAGTAGCATTTTTTGAGTGTCTTATGAGTCTGACTCTTGACTCTATCCTGCCTGATCTGATCTTTGTAACTGCACTAGGAGGCATCACACATCCATGCTTTTGTAACTTTATTTAACACATGCTACCTTTGGAGATGTAGTACCTGAGGCATTTGACTGCTAACCAGAAGTCTGGTGGTTCAAACCCACCAGCCACTCCTCAGAAGGAAGATTGGACAATCTACTTCTGTAGAGATACCACCTCGGAAACCAAAGGAGGGGTCTCTATGAGTTCAATCGACTTAAGCAGTGAGTTTATTTTTTGTTTGTTTGTTTTATTGTGATATGCTATTTGTAAATCAGCAAAAATACAGGGATGAGCAAAATAGATATAGTTGCTATCTTTGTGGAATTTTCATTCTAGACAACAGTAACAAGTACTGGTATGTGTCACTTACCATCCATAATATATTCTGTGAAATAGGAATATTTTATGATTTGGACTTTGTGTGAACACCATACTATATTCAGGTAGTCCCATACATAGTTAAATCCTTGTAAAACCTATTATATTAAAACTTTATGGGAGTCTGTGGACAAAGCCTGAGAGCCTTATGCATTGGATACAGGAAGCTAGCCTTACCAGATGTGTGGGAAGGTGCTGGAAAGGTGCTGGTCAGGCAAATAGATTGGGACTTTGAGCACATCCATAACACAGGAGGAGGGAAGACACACGGCGGGCCCAGAGAGGTGGCCAGCTGGGACCAGGTATGCACATACCAGAGCATGGTTGGTGGTGGTGGCCCTGATTGCCGCCACACTGTTGGTGCGAAAGTTTCCGGATCATGTGTAGCTAGAAGCCCATGAGTACCTGGAGCCAGTTGGGCCACCAGCACCTACAGCAGGAGCAAAGGAGCTGTGGCAAGTGCTGCCCTGCACTGGGGGTGGAAGGCTGCATGCTACTGAGCAAGTTAGTGAAGCCAGGAGGAGTGGAAGGAGGGGCGGCCCTGTAGAGATTGAGGTGCTCCTGGTGCCCTGATGCTCATTCACTCTGAGGGTTCGGGGTGTTTAAAATCATTAGGGGAAAATAATAAACGAAAGGAGAGCTGCTTTCCATTAAGAAAAAGAAAAAAAAAAGACCTATGGGACCACAGTTATGTGATTGGACATTGCCCGAACAGATGCTAAACAATGCATTACCTGCATTTGATTCATTATTTAATTAAAGTTTAAATAAGAGATAAAAGAGTCCACAATAGGGAGGCCTTTCCTAGCAGTCTTTGGGTAGTGTATATAGTTGAACACTTCGGTCTACTTCTGTAAAGTCAGCCACTGAAAATCCTGTTCTACTCAGATGCACTAGGGTCAATGTGAGTGAGAATTTATCCATGAAAACTGGGCTGGGACTTAGTTGGGGAGTGGTTGGTGTGACGGCCAAGGGAGCTCTCCAAGCTATTGACTGAAGGCTTGCAGGGTGGAATGTATGACCAAACAAGCTTTATCCTAAAGGTTGAGTAGGAGGTGGCATGGAGAAGGATGTGTGTATTTGGCAGGGGAATGAGTGGAGAGGATGGTGAAGCTGGAAAGAATCTGATGACAGGAGGGTGATAAGAGAAGGAATGGTTTTCTCCCCTTCATAGCTGTGACATTCAAAGTCATGAAGACAAACATAAGTGGCATTTGAACCCAGTTTTATCCAACTTCCAGATTCTTTTCATATGCGCTTTTCCCTTTTAAGCATCAAACGGTGCTTAAATAATACTTTTGGTTTTCATGAGCAGATTCTTTTTCATGAAATGTTTTTGTATTTTCATTCAGATACATTGATGTTTTATTTGGGAAAGTAAGTTGCTTTCATGGCTTTAGCATCATTCTCTGTTTTGTTTTTCAGTGTTCCAACATTCCAGAACCTTCCTGAGGAGATCCTTAGTAAGCTTGCTGATGTCCTTGAAGAGGTAATTGATTTTAGCTCTTGAACTTTGGAGATCCAAAACCAGCCTGTTCTCTTGGCTTCTTTCACAACTGTACAATGATGAGTCACAGCCACAAAAAGACAATTTAGTTCAGTTTTATTTTTCCCCTTAAACTCTGGTATTAACTACAAATTTGGCTTCCTGTGAAAAGTAGTTTAGTGCATCCTACATTCATACACAGCTGGAAATGTGAGAGTGAATTTAACTACCAAAAAAAAAAAAAAAAAACCTCACTGCCATCCAGTGGATTCTGACTCATAGTGACCCCCAATGGGTTTCCAAAACTGTAAATCTTAATAGAAGTACATTGCCCCATCTTCTGTCCACGAAGTGGCTGGTGGATTTGAACTGCTGACCTTCTGGTTAGCAGCCAAATGCCTTATTCACTATACCACTGTTGTTGTTGTTGTTTGCCATGGAGTTGGCCCTGACTCATAGTGACCCCTCCTTGGGTTTCCGAGGCAGTATCACTACAGAAGTAGGATTGCCCAACCTTCCTTCCAAGGAGAGGCTGATGGGTTTGAACTGCCAACCTTCTGATTAGCAGTCAAGTATACCACTACAGAGTAGGAAAACTTTGCCTTGCTTTTTTTCATGGCAAATATAGTTATTTTTGTTTTCCAAGAATGAGAGATGGTGAATTTCTCTCTTATTACAATTAGGTAAAGCAACATTATAGTTACTGCCACACTGAAAGGTTGTTGTTAGGTGCTGTCAAGTTGGTTCCACCTCATGTGTGTGACCCTATCAACAGAACATGAAACACTGCCCGGTCCTGTACAATTCTCACAATTGTTGCTCAGCTTGAGCCAGTTGTAGAATTATGGAATTTACAACAGGAATTAGCAGTTGGAAAGATATTTTTTCAGCATACAAATATAGTTTACACATATGCCTGAGTTAGAAGGTATCACTGTTTCTCTGACTCCATCCAGGCATAGTTTTGCAGAAGAGCAGAACACTGCACATTAAGTTATTCTGTCATGGGCCACCTCTTTGAGATTCATAACTGAGCATTAGTAGCGTAAAGTGCTTTATTCAAAACCATGAGATCAAAACAAAATTTAAAACATATGAGTTTTAGTATCTATAACTGTTCTCCTAAAGGTACTGGAAATATGAGTTCTATTTCAGATTGAAAGGAGAAAAAAAAACGATCTATTCCCGGTTGTTGAGGAAGTATAGATGGATTGATGAAATCTAAGAACAGTATGTGTGAAAGCAAAGCCAACCATCAGCCTGAAGGAGGATGTCCTAGCTGAGGTGGACAACATGGAAGTTAGAATTAGTTTCAGACTTAGCAAACAAGCAATGAATTCAGAATTTAGAAGGTTAGTCAGGCAGCCCAGGCAATGTCACAAGACAGAAATGAACCAGATGAGGGAAATGTTCCAGGTCAGGTTCATTCATTTCTTCAACCAGTGTTTACTGAGTATCTCTTATAGTCAGGAGTCAGGTATAGATGAGTGAATAAGATAGACACCATGCTGCATGCATTGAGTTTATATTCTTGAAGGGGAGATTCATATTAATTGACAAATTGTATATATGATTGACTAATTGAAATGTGATACAAGTCAAAAATAAAATATGAGCTGCTAACAGGTGAACGTAGGTAGTCCAGGGAGCCATGGAAAAATTCTGAAGAATGCTCTTTAATGTTGGGCGTACAAAGAACTTTTACAACAGAAAGAGCTGATGTGTTAATAAAGGCAATAGGCCCCTGTGGCTGGGATGCAGAATATACTCTGAGATGGAATCTTGCAGAGCTTAGTAGGTCCATTCTCTTAGCATTGGAAAGCTTTGGAAATTTTTAAGCCAGGGGAGGGGAATAAGGGCAGGCCTAAGAGAGTAATAGAATTTTTTAAGGAGTATTCTTAAGAGAGACTTAATTGGACAAATAGGAATGAAATGAGGTGCAAATGGTCAGCCCTAGGACAGAGGGATGGAGCCCTGGTGATGCAATAGTTAAGCACTCAGCTGATAACTGAAAGGTCAGCAGTTAAGAACCTATCAGCTGTTTTGTGGGAGAAGGATGTGGCAATCTGGTTTTCTGAAGTACAGCCTTAGAAACCTAATGGGACTGTTCTACTCTGTCTTACAATTTTGTTATAAGTTGACTTGACAGCAGTGGCTTTACAGGGATCAGGGTGGCCTAATAGTATCTTTCCCCACTTGAACTTTCTTTATGTCTTTCTCCCTCATTTCCCTTCAGGGTACTTAGAATCAAGATTTTATATCGATTGTTTCTATTTATTATATAATTATTTATTGAATGTCTACTATACCCACAACTCTCTTAGACTTTGTGCATATAGCAATGAAACAAAGCAAAACAAAAAGAACAACTAACAGGGGACAAGGTTGGAGTTGTTTCTCAGCAGCAACCAAAAACACCTTAAGGGAGTGAGTCTCTGAGTCTGCAGGCTTGGGACCATGGTCTTGCGGGGCATCAAATTCAATTGGCACAACATAGTACAAAACAATATTATTCTGCATGCTACTTTAGTAAGCAGGCACTCGGGTTTTAAAAGCTTTTGAGCAGCCATCTAAGATGTAACTATTGGTCTCCCCTCGTCTGGAGCAAAGAAGAATGATGAAAATCAACCGGAAGCAATTAGTCTAAAGATCTAATGGACCAAGGGAACCTCAGCCTTTATGACCCTGAGACCAGATGAACTAGATGGTGCCTGTCTACCAATGCCAACTACTCAGAAAGATATCAAAATTGGAGATCATGGATAGAGTAGGGGAAAAATGTGGATCAACATTCAAAAACACAAAAATGACCAGTATTACTAGTAGGATAGAGTCTGGTGAAACCCCTAGAGTATGGCCCTAGGTTAACCTTTGGGCCTGAAACTGGGCTCATTTCCATGAATCAGCTCTCAGCCAAACAGTAGAAAGGCCTACAAGCAGAATGCCTGTTGCAGGGAGGTGCACCTACCTACCCCAGGGAGATACATCCTTTAGATTAAACAACTGTGAAAGATCAGAAGGGCAGCATTTGTATGGGGGAAACCTGGACAGACAGGAAAGCATAGATAAGAAGGACACAGGGAAGGGGTAGTCACAGAGAGGAGGTGGGAGGAGAGCTATTAATTGTTAGGATTGCAGTTGGTGCCTTGAAGCAAATGTGTATGAATTGCTGAAAGAAAACAAATCTGCTTTGTAGATTTGTATCCATATCACAATAAAAATTTTTTTGGAACAAAAAAAAATAAGACTAAAATATCCCCCTTTATGGAAGATAAATTATTGAGTGGAGACACAGGAGAGATAGACAGTACATAGTAAATAATTACATAATTATAAAAACAATTATTTACTGTTTACTGTCTGTCCTATGACCCCTCTTTTTTATTTTTTAGAAAAAAAAATCTCAGAGCAGAGTTTGTTTTACATTCAACATTACGTGTACATTTAGTTTCACTCCCCATTTACCATCCCCAACCCTAACCCAGTCTCCTCTAATCCAGGTCCAGTAACCCCCCTGCCCCCATACCCTTCAGAGTTATACACTCCTGTGTCTCCTGCATTTCCTCGTGGGAATGTTGCCCCTGGGGTGCCCTGTGGTCAGTTGCTCTAAGGGATGCATTTCCATAGAGTATGTGGCTGTACCACCCTGGGTTGAGTGGTCTCTATGTATGCCTTGTTTACTATTGGGCTGAGAACCAGCCCCTGGAAGTGAGTTTTATTCCAGGCTCAGAATGTATCCCAGGGCCATAGTATTGGGGGGTCTTACCAGACTCCATCCTACCAGTAATTCTGGACATTATTGAGTTTTTGGATTTTGTTTCACATTTTCTTCCTACTCTATCCAGGATCTCCAGTTTTGCTCCTTTCCTGAGTGGTTAGCATTGGTAGCTGGGCACCATCTAGTTCTTCTGGTCTCGAGGGTCATTGTGTCCTAGGGCTGATTGCTTCCAAATGCCCTTGTTTTCTTTTAGCACTCTTCTTTGCTTCCAATGATAAGATACCATTGTTGTTGTTGTTGTTAAGTGCCGTCGAGTCGTTTCCGACTCATAGCGACCCCATGCACAGCAGAACGAAACACTGC